TTGGAAAGGTGGCTACCCCTGTGAGAGTGTACTTCAAGAGCATCGCACGGCAGGAGCCCAAGGGATTTATTTTTGATATTACTTACGGCTTTTTCTCGACATCGCCTGTGAAATACGAGGTGATGCAATCACCAACAAGTGCAGCTGGTCTGACGCGGACAAGTGGGGAGGTGGTTCCGTGGAGCGAGGGCGTGGCTTACATGACATTTTCACCTTCAATCTCAACGGAAACCTTGCAACTGCTTCAAGTGAAGATTGTGTGGGTCGATGACATCACCGCCGCTGGTGGTACTGCGGAGGGTGTAGATCCTACAGTGCCACCGGAGGAATTTGCAAAGAAAAACGCAACGCCGTCAGAAGGTACAAGCAAGGAGCCATCTTCGCAGCAATCCAAGGCTGGAGATAAGAAGAGAAGGTCCGTGCTTGGTTTAGTATTTATACTTCTGTTTTCTCTCGCTGTATTTATGCTTGTCATGTCATTCGTCAACTATCGGCTGAAAGGCGCAACTGAGTTCCCGGAGATGATCCCTTTTGTGGGGTTTTTTAGGTCATGTGGACAGTACGTGTCGCTAGCGACAGAAGCATTTATGCGGGGCAGAGGTAATCATCGTGGTGGGTATTCCGATTTGAGCCACGAGGCGGTGAGCACGGACCGCATCTAAAGCAGCGCAAAAAAAGAAAAAGAAAGGGGGTTGGGTGTGGGTTAGGGGAATAAGCAACAGCCGCTAGTTGGTGGTTCTTTACACGAAGAATCCAAAGAGAACGTAAGGGATGTGAATTGTTTGTACGCATCAAAGTAAATGCAATTTTTTATATTTGTTGTTTTTTAAAGAAGCGCCACGGACGATGTGAATGATACCTCTTTTTGTTTCTACTGTTGCTTCTGTTTGTTGTTCCTTGTGACATTTTATTGCTGTGACGCGTCTATCTGTATGCCTGCGTGTGTGTCTGTGTGTGTGATTTTTTTCTCTTAAGCTAACAGGTTTGCCTGGAATTTTTATTTCTCTTCCGCTTCTTTGACGTTTTGAGATTGGGCTCCCTCTTGCTGCCAAGCGCCGCGGCGAGAGCCAACAGTTGCCTTTTTGTGAGAAGACACACGCGGGCTTCCAAGCGGCGGCAGGAATAGGGAGGAGAAAAAAAAAAGGACAAGGTGAAGATAAAAATAATAAAAGGGACAGTTCAATCGAGTAACTCACGGACGTGATGATGAGTCAGAGTCTCAATGCATTGCGGAGCGGGACCGCATGTTTTCCAACCACTATAGCGCAGCAGCGTCGATGGATAACACGACTGTACACATCTTATTACCCCGGTGTGTTATATCCCAACCAGCTTGTGCAGCATAAACAGCGTCTGCCACCGGGCGTCAGTCTCAGTACGGCGCTGAAGGCAAGAACCCAAACGCGACAAGAGCAACCTGTGGCTGGAAGAGAGGTTCCCGAGGAGAATGAGACACGTGGTGTTTCATGGACCGACGCCAGCAGCACGGATGTGATGCATACTGGCAATGCAAGGAGACAGGAGAAGGTGTCTGTCGCCACAGGTCGATCTTACGTGCCGCTTGGTGAGGTGGCTAAGTTGGAGTTGCAAGGGGATTATTGTATGGAAGGAAGTTTATTCCAGGAGGCGTTGGAGCGTTACGGTGTTGTTGCCAAGGCGTACTCGATTGCCTACCCCGAGAACCATTCACAGCGTATTGGTATTTTATTAAAGCTCGCTAGTGCCTTTCGTCACGTCGGTCGACTTGATAGCAGTAAGGTAAATATTGAAAATGCGTTACAAATGTTGGATGCATCGAGTCGACCGTCCCTTGAGCTTATATGTGAAGCCCTGTTGGAACTGGGATTGACACGAGAAGCACAGAGCATGAAAAAGGAAGGCGCAGAGGCCTATGAGGAGGCAGTGGAGGTGTTAAATCTTTTCCACAACTGGGGCGAATCACATCGAATGTTGCGTTTGCTTCCACGTCTGGGGCGTCGCTTCAACCTCAACTTTGAGGAGAAATTTGTGTACTTCAGTCCGTTTGACTACGACCGCACCTTCGCCATTGCAGACCAGTGCATGGAGCGTGCGGAGAAGGTCTATCGCGAAACCGGGGACAGTAAAGGCATCATTCGCGTGCTTCAGTGCAGAAAGGAGATGATTGACAAAAAGTTCTTCAATCTTCGTGACTTTGCTGGACGCATACACACAATGCGGGGGCATTGGATGCGGCGCGCGCAGCATTTAACAAACGCCCCGACACCCGATGAGCTGCTGCGGTACACGCCAACCATCCATCAGGTCTATCGCGACTTTAAGTACGAACTCACGGCCCCGATTGGTCGTGAGAAGGAGGTGATGCCTGGTGTCAATCGCGTAGTGCTCGACATGGGCAATCCCTACCGCCGACGCGGGCGATTGTCGAACAAAATGTTGCGTGATGCCGATCACAATTTTGCCAATTACGTCCGCCGAGAGGAGTACAATGCGTGAGGGAGCAATCTGTTGCAGGGAGAAATGGTTGTTGAGGGAAGCGGGAGGAAAGAACCCCTTCAAGAAAAGGGAATTTGTTTTTTCTTCGTATTTTTTGTTTATTTATTTGCAGCAACCGAATTTATATTCATACATGGGAAAATAGTAGAACTGCATTGCCGCCTTCAAAACTTTCGTCTTTTGCTTTTTTTTTTTTTTTTACGTTTGTGTAAAGTTTTTCACCCCATTCTTTTCTACTTTTCTTCTCTTCTGGTCTCTTGTCTTCCCTTTGATCCCTCATCCCTCTTTCTTTCTCTCTCTTTGTGCATTCGGCGGGTTTCAATACCGTTGCCGTTGCATTAGCGAGCCCCTCATGTCGAACACGGTCCCACCACACTATGTGCGGTTGAGGCGACAAAATTTGACCATTTTCCTTCACTGCGATGTGAACCACGACACCGTTCAGGCGATTAAGGAGCGGTATGAGAAGTTGACTGGCCGCCTCTTCTACACCGTTAGACTCTACCTCGGCCGGCAGAGCCTGGACGATTTCTCCACGCTCTACAACTGCGGTATTGAACACGAGGGCGCTGAGCTCATTGTGGTGCATTCGAAGGCATTAAAGACGGACGGCACCGGTGAGTATATTTGGGAGGATTTGGAGGAGGCCACACAACTCCCACAACCGTCAAGGGAAGAAGCAAAGGAGACAAAAGAGGGAGGGACCTCTTTGGGGTCTCGTGAAGGAGGCGAGACTGCCGGAGAAGGCGGCAGTGCGTCACTTTTGACACGTCCTGAGGAGAAAAGTTACATCTCTTTTGAGCCCAACGTCGGTTTTGTTGGGGTGTGACAATCACTTCACTGCCTGCGTAACGCC